GGGTCTAGCTCCAGGTGCAGTGTTTCAGAAGCTGATTTGGCAAGAAACAATTTAAGGTTAATTAATAATTTGGGGAGGGGGGGGGGGGAAGAGGCGACTTTCCAGTAACTTTTTTAATGAAATATTGATTAGATGAGAACAGTAATATAAAGTAGTGACACTCTTTAATAAAATATTAGGTTGTGAGAAATACATAGTTCCCCAGACACAAACATGAACTTACTTTATTTTAGCAACTACTGTGATATATCTATTGCAAAGGAAAATTAAAATCTTCATACTTGAATTTTGATAAAAGTCCTGCACTCTAATAGCCATCTGTTGGGAAATATTAATTCTCAATTCGGCTGGAAAGTTGGCAATTTAAAGAGCATTATTTTTTCTAGATTAAAATCTCTATTTTGTTGTCTCATAGCCTTAATTAGACTACAAAGTAGTTACAAATCCCAGAACGCAATAGGAGGACATGAGTACTGTAATGGTTGGCTTAATTCCACATTTACGCTGTAAAAAGACCCAGCAATTGAGCAGATTTTAACAAATAGGCAATCGCCATGAATATTTAACAATAAATTGTCAGGTTAATTTCTCTTAGATGAAAGCTACAACGTTTTATCTAATCGATTGCTAAAACAAACCAGTTATGCTGATCAACACCCTCCCCGCCTCCCAACTCCATAACAAATAGTAAGGTAAACCAGACCTAACTCGAATATCCTTCACATCTAAAAGTTAGTGGGCTTATTATAACCCTATATATATATATATATATATAATTTAAACAAAGGGCTCATAATCTTCCACATAACATGCGATAGAAGTAAGTCAACATTCTGGATAAAATACCGTTCGAAGAGACTGACTGTAAATAGGCAGAAAAGTGTTAAATAATATTTATTCAAGTGGCACTGTGAGTTATTTAATGTTTGTGGTAAATGAAGACGAGGTATGCATTTCAGCGGCAATATTAACTGCGGCAGGTGTCGATGAAATAAATGTTTTCAATTCGTTTCAATCATATCGAAGTTATATTGAGGAGCTATTAATTTACTAACACGTGAAAAAATGTGGTTCCAATGGAATGACGTACCTCTTCTTTGATTTATGAGATTGCTTAGCCAGCTATATTTAAAACAATAATTTTTCTTATGACTAATTTTAGCAAAAAATGTTGAAACTGGTGTAGGCGTTAACAAGCGATAGTAAGGAACGAGGAATTTCAAAACGTGGAAAAATATGTCTCTGATAACATGATGCTAATCTAACCAAAGAATTTTAATTGTTTAAGTTGATTCAAACTGAATACTGTATTAAAATATAAGTCATAACGCTTTGATATTATTCCGAGAACTGCAACTCTCTTGAGAATGTGGAGAGCTAGAATTCAGTGAAATTCAAATACAGGAAGGCCATTTATGACTGAATTTATCATTTTTTACTTCGTTCAACCAATTCACACAAATTCGACCCACCTGAATATTCCCGATTTCATACCAGTTAACGGGTTATCATGCACTAGCATGCGTAACGTTACTACAAATATGGGTAACTTACCTTTAACTTCACCTTGAAATGTATAGCAAACCCCCGAAGGTAGGACATATTTGACGAAATGTGTATGAAAACAGGTTCTCGAGGAAATTCTGCATCTATAGAGCAAAACATTTCCCAATTATAAACAATGAAAGTAAATAAATCAATCTAACGGTGATAAGTGGGAAATTAAGAGGGCAATTTTTGTACTTTTGAGCAAACATATGAAGGAATAAAAGAAAAAATATAAAATAGCAATTAACTTATTGTTATAGTTACTTCAAATTATTTATAGGTTACATTGTATATTTTAAGTAAAAATTGACTTGTATTGTACTTAAAGCAAAAAATCCTATAAAATAAGAATTAATGAAATAAATAAGCAAATTTAATAAAAATTTGTTTGCCTAAACTTTAATTTCTTTTGCAAAAGTATTTGAAAATCAGAATGCTGTAGTTCATTTAAAAATGGGAAGATTTATTTATAATTATTAATTATAAAATTATTTGCTTTGACGCAAATATGCTCCAATTGAAACGTTACACTGATGTAGAAATGGGACCTCGAAGTAGTAAATTACTCTAATAATACTAGATAAATAAAGTTGAAGTAATAATTGCTTGTTTAAGCCTTCAAATTCCTATTGGATTTATAGCAATTCATGTTTTAATATCTCTCTTATCACAGAAAAGATCTTTTTGAGTGTCCTGACAATAATTAATAAAGACAATCGATAACTGATCAACAAGGGCTGTTCCGTGTAAAGGCTATAGCGATCCGCTAAATTTAAAAATATCTTAGCCTAATGGTCATAGGAGAAAATGATTGAAATGTGGAAGTATGATCTTCAAAGTACTTAATGGGAATATTTACTAAGCAATGATTATCGCGTTCTGAATTCAGCAGCATATTGAAAAACAAATAACGGGATTCGAGCTGTACTCAATACGAAGAATATAATATAATATAATGATCATTTCAAAATTCTGTTAGAATTAATTTATTATTGACAAGGGCTAAAATCAAATTTTGCAAAACCATGTCATTGCCAAGTCACTTCCATAAATTAACTGAAGCAGGCCAAGAAAAGTTAAATCAAACACCTTTCATCCTATTGTAATCTATCTAATCAATCTGGTATGCCAAACACGAAATCGAATAACAAGTGTTCAAATAAGTTAATAATTGAATCAGCGCGTTCGGTACAATCTGGTTGGTGACCAATATAGTCTGGTTCAGTCCTCTTCAATTCTTCAGCTAGGGTCTGATCAACTATACCACTCCTTATGATATAGAGTTTGGCCATCTGCCTTAGAAACATATTAACCCTCACTAATTATTTCGGATTTTAACTCCTTCATATGCTCAAACGATAAATTGCTTTCAATTCTCATTTCAGAATCTTCTTTTTGCCCTGAATAATAATGGTCTATAAATCGTCTAAACTCAAACTAAACTCCTTAAGCCGCTTATGTTGCGATATCAATTTTTGATAACATATTTACTTACACAGCATCTTTTCTGTCCTCCTCTACCGGATAATGATTTTCCTGTCCAATCGAATAACTTCGAAATTGCTTATGAACCTGAAACCACTAATTGCTCATGAAGTAGAAATTATAAAATTCGACCTCATAAATCAAGTAAAGTAATACTTTGAGAGCTTAACCGTTCCCTAACCATGCGTTTCATTTAACTTTGCCCAACCGAGTTCATCTACTTGCCCGCAATGCGAAAAAATATAACACTTTCTGTCAAAGTGGTAGGTTTTAATAATATTAATATACATATGCATATATTGTACAAATATTTGAGCTTTCGAATGACGAATTTCTTCCCAACCACTTCGCAGAGGCTATTTACACAGATATGAAGCAACTACAAAATTCAAGCAACATCAGCTATATACTGTGAAAATACGTTATGATTGTCATAAGACACAAGAGAAAGTCCCTTTGCAGGTAACAATCTGTTTATCACTATTTTAAGTTCTAAGTTCGACTTTGTAAACGACATCGATTGCACTTTCTATTTATAAAATCCACCTTATATGACATGCGCTTTTATTCCTCAGAAGAATGTTAAAGCGATTTGACATGACCAATTTCGCATTTTCTTACGCATTTCATTGACGAAGTAGAAGTTAAAAGCATAGATAAACTTAAAAAAACAATTGCTGAAGGATTTAAATTCACTAAGAATAAAATGATAATTGTGAATAACAATAGTCTGTGAATTCGCATTATCTCGGTTAATTTATATTTTGGGCGTCTTCACAAAACCGAAGTATCAAACAATCTTTCTCCTGATTTTCTATTTTCATACACGAGGGGTACAATCGGAAGTCCCCCCCCCCCAACGGCTAGGAGAGCAGTGCTCAAAAGAAAGTTATCATTTGTCAAGACCAATAGCCGTAACCAGAGGTAACCAGTCAAAATTATGACTACCGGAAATGCCTACCATTGATAGTTAGATAATAAGCCTCTAGAGGGAAACCAGACCTGCGTATCCTCGAATGCATTCATTGCAAACGACACGATTCTCCTTCTTCTTCTATTCATATAATTCCGCTACTAACCATTGTTTAACTTTTTAAGGGTTTGAGAACAATCCGGACCCTATAAGCCAGCTTCTTAGTGAATCTTATGGGAAAATAATAACGATTTCGCTCACTACTTTTACTACAATATTAAAATGTCGTAAAACGCGAAATAATCGGGAATGTGAAATTTTAATTAAATTTACCCCCGTGAATGGGCTTGAGTACGCGTTTTGGAGAAACGGATGTAGGGACTAATCAGAGTTAAGGTGTTCAAATGAAATCAGAGAAAAGAGAAAGAAAACTTTCTCGAGCTCAGTGAAGCAGTTTTAATTAAGTGCGAAAAAAGGAAATGGATGGAGATTGGGTAGAGAGAAAAGGGAAAAATAAGGAGAAAGATTTACCACCTAGCAATCAAGATGGTGGTGGTGATGATGATGATGATGATATTTTCTCCCTCATCCTTGATTTTCACGGGCGCGCCATTTCTTGATAGTGTCAATTGATGTTTTATTTTTGATTAAAGCAAAAACATGTATCGTGCTTGTCTAATTATAAAGACCCTAGTTAATTTTGTCCCCCCCTTTTTTTTTATTTAAACAAGGAGTTAATCTTGCACTCCTCATTGAGAAATGGGACATAATTAGGAATTTAGACAAGACATAAGCAACTGATATGCTTGCGTGTTCTGTTTAAATCTTCAATAGTTGACTCCAAAAATGTCTTTGCCAGTTTTAACTGGTCACGGTGGTAAGAAATTGCAGGTGAAACTAAGAGACGTTGTGCGGAAGAATTAATCAAATTCACAGAGTAAGGTGTTCGCAGATATCATGCATCTGAAATAAAAATTTATCTCATACAAAAACTGAGATATCTAACTTCTCTCTCCTATCAAGAAGGAAGTATATAATATCTCTTGAGGAAGGGGGTCTTTTAAATGGTACCCTGATTGCACTTTTTACCCTTCATTTTTCCTAATTTTAATCTTTAATTACCGTTTTGACCTTTAGTGCGAGGACGAATTGATTCAACCAAGGGGTCATTGAGTTAATCCCATTGTTGTTGTTGCTAGCATAAATCTTAACTTATCACTACCCTTCTTTGAAGCAGGGAATGAGTTCATTTATGATCTTTGACGCCTTTTTGCTTTTGCGATGAAGGAAAAAGTAAATTAGCTGGATTTGAATTAAACAATGCTTAGCTTTTATTACTAATGACCACTTTCACAGTCGCATCAATCTCTAGCTTAGCTAAGGTTCTGTCAAACTAAAGGTTCAAAAATACCTTGGCTAAGGAAAATAACAATTGACATAAAAGTCATTGGGTTTCAAAATCCCAGTTCAAAAATATGATTTTTTCCACTTAACCTTAAATGTCATATTGAAAGCTATAAATCCCTTTATGCCACAAAATATCAAAGCTAAATTTTACTTTAAGTGCGATTGTACTGCCTAAATAAAATTTCTCAATTACCCAATCTTTTCACTCCAAGTTCACGTTTCTCGAATTGATCTTCCCCCAAAAATCGTGTTTCAGAAGTCCATCTAAATTTCGGTTAGTCGGTTGGTGGGTGGTAAGCACACACTGTTGTATAAGTTTCTTTCATTGAGATGTCTCAGCTATATGAATTTACTGTCTGCATTTTCCGCAAATTCGTTTTTATCAGTGATTAGAAAAGTATTAAGAAGACCCCGTCATTGACAAATGAGAATGAAGGGTAAAAAACAACTATTTATTGATCTAGAGTTGAGACATTTCAATTATCAGTATAAAAAGATAAAAAATATTTTTTCGGAAATTTCCTTTCAGGATCCTAATTAAAACTAGTCGCCTTATCATTTCTGCAAAGCTATGACGCATTGCTAAAATCACGTTATGGATACCACAGTGAAAAATATTAATTCAATATAAAACTTGCATTTTAATAACTTTTATAAATTAAAGTAGGAGTGTGCGATAGACTTACCTCCACGTGATGTACCCTGGGCAGCGTATACTCATACGGCAAAAAAGTCTATTTGTGCGCCCTGGGCAACGTATACTCATATGGCAAAAAAGTCTATTACCTACGCCCTGGGCAGCGTATACTCATACGGCAAAAAAGTCTATTAGCAGGTAGTTGACTTCTGACTTCTAACTATCATCACCCACTGTATGTCATAGTCGACCACTTCCATAGTACTCACCTCACCTTTTTTCTACCTCAGTGTCTGTCTCTTTTTCATCTTTGAAACACTATTCTGCCCCCCCCCCCTCCAATCTCGACATTTTTTACTTTGATGGTCCTTCCTCTCTGTGAAGCCTGAAGTCAACTAATGCGCTAATGATAACTATCAAAACGCCTGCCATTCGATATAAATAAGTAAAAGTAGATAATAATTAAATGATCAAATCCAACTGTAATTGAATTCTGTTCATCTAAATAATGAGAAGACAATATTTTTAAAAGTACGCTTGTTCACAAATATATAAATTAAAAGAACTTAGTTAAGGTATTTCTGACGTGTTGAAACTTTATCTAATAAATAAATAAATCTGTATTATTGAAAGAAAATATACTTTGAAACGTACATATGTACCTTAAATAGAGGGCATTAAGCTTCAAAATACTAAAATTTATACCCATTTATCATGTGAGTTTAAAGGGTTTTAATTCTGTTAAAAATCCAAAACTGATTGAATTTTTTATTTGTGTTTTAATAAACTAGTTGAAATAAATTAAATTGAATGATTTAAACTAATGTACTTAAACTCCAATTCCCATTCAAACTTGACAGAGTCAGCACAATCTGTTCTAAGTGTCGTAATAGGAAATAACAGATATATATGCATGCATACTAAAAGTGAGCCTGCTAAATATTTAGAAAAAAGGCGTTCAAAATCAAAGAGAGTATGAAAATGCAAAATTTCATTTCAAGTGCAATTAGTAAATCCACGTAAATTGTTTTTGAGACTGGAACAAAACTTCGTCCACTTTAAACAAAGAAATGCACTTAACTTACTCGATGAGCATATTTTTGAGACTGTGGGCTGTGTGATTGAGCATTAGATTATAGTTGGCGTTCTTGGCGCTTAGATCTTCGTCGTTCACGGAAGTCTGTGGCCGAGCTAAGCGGGCATCAAGAAACCTTTCGTACCACACTGGGCTCTTTCCTTTATCCGGCTGCAATCCAAATAAGGTTGAACCTCTGGAATAAAGTTATTATTACGTCAAATGCTATGACATTTCTTGGTATACAGAGGTGCAAATAAGCATTTACTCTGGAAGAGAGATCATTCGGCATATTATGAATTAGAGTTAAGTGGTGTAGACGGATTGTGGGTTTGTAATTTTCTTATGTCCACTCTCTCTTTGAAACGGAAGGGCAAACATATAATATTAACTTATTTTCGACATTATTCTGCTTACCATTTTATTGTATTCATATTAGATTACTTCGTTATCGATCACCTTCGAGAAAGAATTCCCAATTTGTTAATACTACTTACATAACTTGAAGCATTACGTTGAACTGTGGTGGGTGTTAAGGTATTATAATTGTCCAGACAATTTTGTCAAATGAAAGTATCTTTCCATGACAAAGGCCATAAATCGGAAAGAGATTCCAGGGAAAATCACAATATTTTCGTGGAAGGCCACGTAAGTATGTAATAAATATTGGTTCAAAGTCAGTAGATTTAACGAACAGTTTATGAAAACAGTCTTATACCCTATTAATGTTCTATGCAGACCTGATAATTTGCAATATTTTATTGCGTCGCACCACATAAATACTTTTAATTACGACCTGTTAAACATCAATGGATACTGGGATATAGGGCATATAGATTTAAATCACACAAGCAAGTTTCTTTCACTCATTCTAACTTTGAAAATTAAATTAAGCCTAAAGCCTAATTATTACATTGTTTTCGGAAATTCATTGTGCACAGAATAATTGTTTTACAGTAATCAGTTTCATTTGGAAGCTAGAAGTACATATTTGGCCACAGAATCCTTAAATCATTAAATCTATTATCTTAATTGCTTTTAACTTAAGGTACTAATTGTCTAATAAAATCAACACGATTACACATTTAATTAACTTTTTTTACAATTTTGTAAACTCCTTTGCATCACTTTGGTACTTTGAAGGCAATACGTGTCTGGTGTGTGCGATATAACCATAATCTGTAATTAATCTTACTTATATTTTTCTTCCAACTTAAGTCTGCAAAGAAAAGAACGCAAAAAGTTGACCTTGTGCTTAATTGCACTAAATGGTTTTTTTCAAAACAATTAAAACTAACAAAAAGTTTCAAATACTTGATAGTGTGCGCTTAGAAAAAAAACTTAAAATCAATGATATCAATCTACAATAATGAATAATAATTTTGAAAAAAACAACAAAAGATTTATGATTAAGAATACTCGCCTTGCTGGATTTGCGTTGCAAATGCTGAAATAGGGGAAGGGAACGTCAATTGATTGCTTCTCTTCATAACTCGAAATTACAAAGTTAGATGAGGCGTGCTGGGCTCCATTGGCAGTACCGCAATTCTGACTTGTTTCTCGCCAATATTTAAATCGAAGACCCAATAAGATTATTAATATTAATATACTGACCAACAAAAATGCACCTCTGAAATTAAACAGACAAGCTTATTAGAGATAATTGGTGTTCCCCCTAAGAAGACATTAATTTAGATAATTATTATTTAATATTATAATTATTGCTTTATAAGGTGGTTATCCACTATTTAGACAAAGAATCTGTTAAATAAATGTTAGAACTAGAACCCTTGAGACGAGTAATCAACATTCGGCATAATATCTCCATAACAGTGCGTGTTTATAACAGTAGCATAATTGGACTTATTTGAACTAATATTTAAATATTCACTTTAAATACATCATTCAGGCAAAAAAATTATAAATTAAAATGTAGCTAAATCGAAAACGTTTTCATATTAACAGGAGATAGGTGACTGGAGCTATTCACTGATTTGTAGAGGTAACCTTTTTTGCCTTTCATTGTTAGATTGAAACCTGCTAACTTATAATAGGAAATATCTTATTTTAGGAGATATAACTTGAAATACCAACTAACTTCTTTAAACAACCCTCAATGGACTATTAAACCTTAATATTATTAACCTCGAAATAAACTATGGGTATCGTATTTGGTAATTATGTAAAGACTAAACTAGTTCCAACTCTATTTTAAAAAAGTTACAAGTCCATAGAGCAATTAAGTAAAATCCAAACTAGAGTGAATATTCGTATAAATTACATTCTCAACAACTTCTCTGCTCCTGTTGCATTTAGGGAGCTGTGATCAATTTTTGAGAGGACTTTAAAGACGGCGTGTTTAGCATTTTGTCAATAAATATTATATTGATTAAGATAATTCTAGGACTTCAGTTTTAGTTGATTGCATGAAATGTTATCCAAAATTTTTGTCTTAACCGGAGTTGTAAAGCATTATTTTAAATTGTCTTCTCCACAATCCCAGGCTCTTTTCTTTTCTGAAATTTTCAAATGCAAAATCATGTTTTTCTATATTCTGAGATTTTTGCGTTAACATCGTTTGCATTTTTCCTCTCAATTTCTACTGCCCTTTGTAATGATTTAGAATATCATATCTTATATGTTAAAAGTTTTCGAATATTATTTCACTTATGGTATTCTTTTTTCAATATAAAAACAGACTATTATGCATTAAATAGCGATATTTAAAATAATTTCTTAAATTGTAAATGCTATGGACGTAAGGTAAATGCGAGGTGAAAATTCAAAATAAGGATGCCTCAATTTTTTAACTAAGTTTTATTTAATGAACATTCCATGAAAAGTAAGCAATTTCGCTTTTTTTAGCTCCATACTTTGCAAAATACAAATGGCTTATAATCATTCGAAATGAATTAGCCTTCTTGGATGAAACAAGTTCATTCCAATGGGAGAAATAGTTAGGACTGAGATTATGGACATGAGGTTCAGGTAGATAAAAAAGGATTTCGGGGTCTTTTTCCCAAACTAAGTATTTTGAATTGCTTTTTTGTGATAGAAAAGTCAAGTCTTGAAGAGAAGCTGACACACCTAATATTTTAACTCTAGGTACAACTTCTTAGTAGTATCAAATAAAATGGGGATTAATTAAGTAATTAATTAGCAAACCCATGGTCGATATGACTATTTCTTTAAAGCTTTTAACACCAAAATCAAACACATATTGAAACGTTTTTAGTCATTAAGCATTACTGTGTTGGTTGTGGTCAAAGAAATCTTCCCATTTAAGTAGAAATTGCCCACTGACTATAAATACCAAAAAATTGAATTAAGTCGTTCATAGCTCAAAGGCAAAAACCAACTTCACAATGCCAATTCTTCATAAGCCAGTTGTTACCATTTACATGGCAACTAATGCATTTTGGGTTAAGCTACAACGGATTTTCTGCCGAATATATCCAGAAAAAAGTACTTTGAAATTCAAAATTAGCGTACATACATACACATATATATATATATATATATAATGTCCATTTATATATGATTGCTTATGGTGTTTAAATTAATTTTTAAAGCAGTATTCACGAAAAGAAATAAGTATGGCAATCCAAGCTCCCATAATTACTTCCAATACCCATTCATCGACACGCAATTTATTTTGTCCAATGAAGTCTGGTTACCTAATCCAAAAGACTTTGAAATTATTTTACATTTTTGCAATTTGTTGCATGAATTTAGCATTCTTAGCTGATCACACACACACGTATATAACAAAGCCTTATGAAGGCACCATAAAAGAAAATTATGAATATATTCTATTAAAAATGTACGTTAGCTTATTGAGAATGGATTAAAATAAATAAATCCTGCAAAAATGCAAAAGAGTTAAACTTATTATCTCAAAACTATTGGCTAACAAGTATTTGATCATTATGAACTATTAACCGAATGTAAAGCTTACCAAAATCTTTATGCATAAAGCACTTATAGAAGTCTTCAAACAGTCTTAAAACGAAGTCAAAAGAAGCCTTCTTTGGGCATGTTGTAAATGATTAAATTGCTCACCACTCAACTTCTATTTCGAATTTGAGCTGTAACTCTAATGGTTGCCAAGTAAATTTGGCAAAAAAAGTTAAATAAAATTTATCAAAGCGCATGCGTTATTTTTGTTTATAAATTCTGTAATGTCAAAGTGCCTTAATAACTTTGTTGGCACCTGGGTAGGGAAATGGGGTCAGGGTGGCATACCAATCGGTGTGACAAGGTAAACGTACTATCACCCATTCCCTATGCATTCCCAATCCAATTGAAGGTTATTTTGTATTGTATAAGAATTTAGGACAGAATCTGCGCGGATGTGATGCGGCAACCTCGATAGTAAGGATATTATTTGGGTCGCCAAGCCCTAGTCAAACTTTCACAATTAACTATATTATAATAAGGATAATTACTATTTTAGCAACATTAAGATATGCAAAAATGAAAGAAAACAATGAATATTTTCAAGTTCCTTGACTTATGCTTTTTGTTTCATTTAAAAAATGGTTTATCAAAATGTATTTGAGAATTTAGTAATATTTGAAGATCTAAAATATTTCGCTAATTGCAATAAAAGTCAATCTAATATTTTACAAACACGTCATAACAATATTAATATCACTGTCACTAAAAGTCGTAAAAGATCCCGATTAGATTGCGTGCTTTCTTTTGGTAACGGCATTTCATAAAAGCTATAGGGTGCCTAATATTTTCACATATGGAAAGGGACAGATGATTAATTAATTAGACTTACTCGATAAATCTCATATAAAAGCGCATTTGAAGACTGGAAATAAACAACTATAATTTTTCGGAATGGCCGCGCTAAAAAACAACAAGTAAGCTCACTTCGGCGCCAGCCAACCACAATCGTGGATGATTCAGCCAATGGCATGCGTACAATTACCTTATAGACTCAGTGCTCCTTCCGATAGGCCTTAAGGTAGCACGATCTCCACGCATCAGTAAGTTAAAAACGTTAATAATTACACACTTAGGAAATACCCATTTTCCCTATTATTTTCCATGACCTCTACTAACATAGCAAGCCTTATTTGGGTGGTTTTCAGAAATGAACATTTGAGATTTTGCGACTTGCGAAGTTTCGTAAAGGGATACTTTTACTTTCTTTTAACCAAGTTCTATTCTCTTTGATTCGGTTGATTGAGTCAATGCTTATATTTATTATTTGGCTGAATGAACACGGTTTCTATAATATACGTAACTTCCATTCCATTGAACGCTTTAAG